ACGGCAATCACTTACGGGAGACCCATGTTTATGGGATGCGCAGTGGCGAATGCAGATGCAATTGCGACACACAGAGTCAATCCAAGCCTGTGTCGAGATGGCGGGGTGGTCGGCGTGATTGTCGCGATGCGATGCGTAATGATGGTACCAAGCGCACGCGCGGCCGTGAAGTGGATTTTTTCGGGGCCTCAGGTCGTGGACTAGGTGATCCTTGGGGCGGACAGTTGAAGAGTGGATGTGGCGGGAGAGGTCGAATGCATGGGGGGGCTAAGGGGGCAAGGGGCCAAGGGGGCAGAGAGATGACGAGGCAGGCTACTCTCATTCGCCCATTTACTGACGTAAGGCATCCTAATACGCCTTCCGGACTTGTATACATTAGTGGTAGTGCGGTGCTCTGCACTGTCAGTCGCGGCTTATTATTCTCGAGTACCCGCTAATAGCATAACATCTACAATCGCCTCCCCTGCCCCTATATCTTGGCCGGTTTGAGTAGTAAATCCCGTGATGGCATATATGGTTTAGATGTATCCACTGTCTTCCTGTGCTTCGTCGAGAGACAAAGTATATTCGTCGGATGGAACCTGGCCATTTTTCATTCGCCCCCGAATTCGTTTCAGTATTTTGACAATCTGTTCATTCATGCCTGTACCTGCACACATTGCTGCCCGCTTTCTGCTGAGAGGTCCAGAGCGTTGCCGCCAGAAAATCGTTAACAAGGGCGTTGCAAGATGAAGGGTGTCAGCCTGAACCTCCAGCGCATGGCTCGCGCCATGGGATCAGTGTCTCAGTCATGGGAAGCCATCCACGTCGCCGGCACAAACGGGAAGGGGTCGGTCTGCACATACTTGTCGGCTCTCTGTAAACGTTCCAACATTCACAATGGCTTGTTCACGTCACCTTACCTAGTTGAGCCTCGAGACGCCATCAAGATTGACGGTGTCCCAATCCTTCAGAGGAATTACGCCCGTTATCGGCAGCAGATCCTGGATGACCAGGCCTTGAGGACGGCAGAAGACGGACAAGGAGACCTGCCGACCAGTAGAGTGCTGGCTCCGTTGACCGAGTTTGAGCTGGTCACCATGACGGCCTTCACAGCGTTCGATGATGCCACGATCGATGTGGGAATCGTGGAAGTCGGCTTAGGTGGGCGGCTAGACTCGACCAACGCACTCCGCACCAAGAAAGTCACTGTCATCACCAAGATCGGACTGGATCATCAAAAAATGCTCGGCGAGACCCTGCCCGAGATCGCCAAGGAGAAAGCAGGCATCATGATGGCCGATGTGCCATGCGTTGTGGATGGCAGCAACCCGCCAGAGGTTCTCGAGGTTTTTCGCCAACACGCACTCGGAGTCGGTGCGCCCCTCTACTTGACGACAGATTCCAGAGATCTGTTGGAAGAGCTGTACCAGTCCGAGGTCATGCCTCATCAGGCCCAAAACATGGCTTGTGCCATCGCAGCTTTCCGCCTCGCCTTCCCCGAGGTGAAGCTCTCAGTTGCCGAGGCGTTGCCTGTCATGACAAATGCCTTACACCGAGGAAGGCTTTCATGGCTTGATGTGAGTCGCCAATTTTCTTCCCGCAAGGACAAGCCATTTCTTGTCGATGGCGCGCACAACCCCCAGTCCGCGAGCACCCTATCGGCATATGTAGAGAAGCATGTACGTCAAAATGATGAGCCCATATCGTGGGTCATCGCCGTATCAAATCAGGATGGAAAGGATGCCCAAGGCATGTTCAGGACACTCTTCCGGCCAGATGACAAAGTCGCATGTGTAGCTTTCCGCAGGCGACCAACGATGCCCTGGGTGGAACCAGTCGAGCCATTGTCCCTTGCGCAAACAATCCAGACGCTCGGTTTCACGGTTCGCAACTTTGATGAGAGCAGTACACCATCTGGTACATTGGCCGAAGGGAGTTCATGGGCAGCTCAGCACAACACACCTGTGGTAGTGACAGGAAGTCTGTACCTAGTGGGTGACGCTTATGATCTATTCGATGACATATTTGCACATGAAAGGCGTGCTGAGGAGATTTGAGGTCTCATGTGCCTCAAATCTACTCAGGGTGATATCAGAGTCTTGGCTATCTAGCTAGCACGGCCTTTCAAAGATCCCAAATGATAAAAATTCATTATACATGGAATATCTCGTCACATGATCATGTACTTCTTTGAGGGATTTATGCGCTCAAAATCTGTCTTCTCCGGGTGTTAAGACATCTACGAATGGCCCTGATCAAAGGTGAAGATGGTGACTCCAACTGATCTCGTGATTGTGTGCTGCCATGGCGTCTGGACCGGCGGGCCAACGAAGGGCTCAGACGAATCGGAATGGCTGATTGCAGACTTCCAAGCTGGAGAAACTCCAACCTTCGTCGATCACATTAAGGCTGGTCTGCAATGCATTAGTGAAAATCACAACGCAGTTCTGGTGTTTTCCGGGTATGCAACTCCCTCATAACCTCAATAATGTTGGCCTCAGCTCATTCTTGTGCAGAGGATCTACTCGTCGAGAAACACGCCTTTCTGAGGCTCAAAGCTATGCCAACTTGGCTTCAGCAAACAACTACTTCGACATCCTGCCCACAGGAAGCGACACGACCAGTCGTATATTCACAGAGGAACAAGCGTTGGACTCGTACCACAACGTCCTTTTCTCCGTCATTGCCTTTTGGCGTCGCTATGATTTTGTAGCATGGCCTCAACTGATCACAATTGTCAGTCATGCATTCAAGCGAGCTCGGATTGTTGAGGGGCATTGCAGTGCCATCGGGTTTCCTCTACACCGCGTCGTATTTCATGGCCTTGATCCGCCCGGAATGACGGCGCTTTCTGGACAGGATGTGCGAAATCAAGAGGCTTTGGCGGGTGTTCAGGTGGCTGTGGACCAGTGGCAAGCCGACCCCCATGGTGCCGGCCAGACCTTAGCAGGCAAGAGAGCGAAGCGCAATCACTGGCTTATCGACCAGGCACTGTTTCGCACTGAAGAAGAGAGGATCAGAAGTGGCATTCAAACAACAATCACAGAGCTTGGCGGCGTGAGGCTGTCGGATGAGGGATTCAGACCGTGGGCTTGAGGCACACTGGAGTTCTCCAGGGCGCTCGATTTTCGATTGAAATAGACCCTCCGTTCCTTGATCTTCAGCGTTCGGTTCTCTCTTAACCTCCTGCCCGGATTGACAATAGCTATATCTTGGACTTTCTCTCTTCCGAGCCATGCCTCCCCCTCCCGTCTCCCGGAGGACCCGACGCTACCTCATCTAGCAAGAACCTCACCGCATCCTCCACCATGCCTTCGCTGAAGGCATGGCCGACCCCCTCGTACACCTTGTTTTCCAGGACGACGCCTCCATCATTGTACCAAGTCTTTGTAGCACCCTCTAAAAATTCAAGGAACCGCCTTGATTGAGAATAGGGCACCAGACGATCATCGCCGCCGGAGCAGACGAGGAGCTTCTTGCCCTTAATACGATCATCCAGAACCGTCCTCAGCCGCTGCTGCTCTTCTTCGGATGGCTTTTTCGAAATCGAATTCGTGCCAAAGAGAATAGCCTTCGGATCATGTTTAGCGCAAGCCTGAACCAGATCCCTGGGGAAATCCTTGCTTCCCAGAAAGGAAGTGCCCTTGTCCTCAGCGCTGTAAGTCGATAGCTCCGCGTTCTTGGCACGATTGGTCATGAGGGCTGCAAACATGTCAGTATCGTCACTTGAACCTCAATCACCGGGCCAGGAACTATTCTATATATAGACAATCGAAGGTCAGACTTACCCATGAAATCAGGACAGCCAATGATGATGACTGCTGCGCGGATCCTCGGTTCAGCGAACAGGGCCTGCCAGGCACTGTGGCCACCCAGGCTAACGCCCAAGAGCAGATGCTGGTCAATATCGCTGTCCCAGCCCCCCTCCTTCATTCCTCTGAGCTCATGTGCAACATAGCCATCCACGAGATCAATGAGGCCCCGGGTATCAGACACCATGCCCGTGATGGCACCCGCCATGTCGATAGCGTGTGTAGCGTTACCCTTCTTCCAGGCATTATTGGCTCGCTGTTCCACGAGACGTCCACCATGATTCCGTTGGTCAAAAATGACGGCTATGAGCCCGCGGGTTGAGTGGCCGTCTTTGCGTCGCTGGTGCCAGTCAGACACAATGCGCATGGCGAAGTCAGCCATATCTTCCTTGCGTCGCGTGCGAGGATGGTGGAGCCAGAGACAGGAGACTGCAGTTGTTGGCAGAGAGGCTATCTCTTCAAGTCCGTAAACATCACAAGGTAGGCCGGCCATGAGGATTGTTCGCTTTGAGGCAGACAGCTCCGCCGCAGACGCGGTCATGGGGGGTTCCACTCCAGACATCTCGGCGGTGGCTCGAGGTTCAAGATTGCGATGATAGCTGTAGTGAGGGATAAAGAAACCTTTAGCTCGTGGTTCAAGTGACCAAAAGACAAATACGATACTGGCGAAGCGTTGTGATGTGGTTGAGCGTTGAAGCTTGCTTCCCTTGGGTGCTGGGGGCCGAGGTTCAGGCAAAAGCTGGAGACGGTCGTTGCGATGTCATCAAGCAGCAAGATGTCTCAGTAGTGCCTGTACCCCAACCGTAACAACCCTGCTACAACGGCCCCCTCAGAATAACGAAGCCAAGTCGACCAGCACATCTCCAATAGAAGCATTTCAAAAAAGCGCCATGAATAAAAATGGTTGAATTGCCAAAACTGTCGCGAATTAAAGCTAGACATGCAACAGCAACGCTTGCCAATCATCGTCGCCTCGTAGCCATCGAAGCCCGAGCGCCACGACGAGCCCTGTGATGACGAGAACCATCATTTGAGGCAGAGATGCAAAAACGACCTGTGTGAAACCCTCCGAACGCCTCGAGCTCTGCTCCAACCAGAAACCTGTCGTTAAACCGCAGTTTCGTTGCCTGATCGATCTATGTACTGCTCACTGAATGGTAGCGTCTGAGCCCAACGCATCATGTTTCACTTCTTTCCCTTGCCTTGCTCTCTTCCTACTCCATACTCCTTTCCATCTCTCGGGGTATCCTTCTCAAGCTCTGTCACGGCTCCGCCTTTCTGTCGCGCAATAGATCATGGCCAAGCTATGTTCAGCACCTCGCGTGCATCTGTTGGTCTTCCCCCTTGCAACCTTTAGTCCATCTTCCAGTGGTTTGTGAGGCCGCTCTCTGGATCATCGCTGCCCAGATACAGCTCAATCGCATATAATGACATGGTCGCAGCAATGTTGATCCATCGCCAGACGTTTCCTCCGGCATCATTCCCTCGCAGACTCCAACCATCCGGGCCGTCGTCGGTGTTAAAGTGCTGAAGCAGAAGACTGGTGTACATGGCGATTAAGATCGATGGCGAGAAATATGAGGCAAGCCCCAAAAGTCGGTTAACAGCGTCCGATTCCTCCTCGCTAGGCTGTTCCATCAATGCGCGAGCGCCAGACTCACGCACCGCAGGGATGATGCGGGTGGCGCAGTAAAAGACGAAGAGGCGGAAGGTTAGCGAAATGATAGCGGATGGGGTAATCGTTTGGAAAGCGGCATAAAGCAGGGTGAGAGACGAGTGAACGGCCGATGGGAGCGAGCCCACATGTGGAGAAGTGTCGATAAGATGCCATGATGATAGTGTAAGGTGAAAGTCGGTTCTGCCGATGC